TCTACTTCACAACGCCGTTCTGGCCCACATACCTGCCAGCGCGCGCCCCGCCAGTCACCGTGCGCATGCCTGACGAGCCTGCGGCCTCCATCCGCCCGCGCTCTCTGCAGGAGGTCAGAGGCGACCGTCTGCGCGGTGGCCGTGCTCCTGGTGCTGCTGGTGAAGGTTGTGCTGCTGACTCACTGGCGGGTTCTGGAGACCCCTGGGCTGCAGCTGCGGGAGAGAACTCTCGTCGAGTCCCTGCCGCTGCTGACGCTACCAGTAGGACTACAACGCCCCCGGCGACTGCATGCACCGCCAGCCAGCCGCTGGCACAAGGAGACCTCGACGACTTTTCGCGGCCTACAAGTTGGAAGTGGCCGCCACATTTGACGCAAGGTTCAACTCCATCCGTGGGGCAGTGGTCAAGGACGTCACGGATCACACCGAGGGCTTGGTGCGTGCGGTCGCCGCGCGACAGGAGAAGGTCAACACCCAGCTTCGTGGGGAGTTCAACGAGTTGCAGCAGAGGATTGCCACTTCGGAAAAGCAACAGCTGGCCTTCACGGAGCAGTTGGAGCAGATGCGGGCGGCCCTTCACGTGGCGGAGTCTACGATCACGGTCAAGGACCTGGATGGCCACGCAGAGTGGGACAGGGCGCCTGACACGGGCATTCTTGTGGCCAACACGACAGCCAATGTGGATCGAGAGGTGCTCAGTAGTGTCCTGGCGCCGTGGCTCCGTGAGGCGACAATACCTGATGACGATTGGAAGCTGCTCGGCTCGACTCCATCAAGACGTTTCATTGTGCAGTTCAAAGGAGACATCAACTCGGCAACCAGAAGGGCGCAGGCCGCAAGGAAAGCACTCAAATATATCACGGGAGCATGGAAACAATTTTCGGCCAGCACGACTGAGGGAGGTGAGTCGAGGGTCTTCGTGGGAATGGACAAATCACCGAAGCAAGTACGAAGAGATGTCCAAACTAAATCCATGGCTGCAGCGGTGCGAGAGCAATGCCAAAACCTTCGGACTCGTCATGACCGCCAACGTGGAGCTGTATTCCTGGATGGTTCCCCTTGCGCGCAGGTACAAGTGGGAAATGAGAGAGATGATTGCACACGTCTTCTTTGGAACTATCCCCTCGTGCAAGAACATGGTGTCAACAAAGATGAGCTCACGGCTGCGTTCAACAACAACTTCCACACGGAGGAGAGAGTCCAGTGGCAAATTTAGCAGGACTCTCAACACGTGGCATGAGAAGTTACGTGAGAGGCCAGTGCAGGAGATCCAGATGATGACGCGGAACACCCGTGCCCTCCTTCACCACAAGCCAGGCATCCGTCGCAAGAAGGCTGCCAAGCCCAAATCGTTCTGCAGAGGTGCTGGTGTGGTGGCTCTCCAAGAGGTGCATGGTACTCGCCCTGACATGCTCAAGCTTCTTTATGACCTCCAGATCAAGGCGGCTTGCTTCTCTTCTCTCCCTGCGCGCGATGCTGGAGGTGTGGTCACGCTGCTGCCGCAGATGACGCAGGCGGAGGCAGACGAAGCGGTGCGTGAAGAACGGATTTGTGTCTCTGAACTGGTCTCTGGCAGAGTGCTGCGAGTTGCGATCAAGGCTCGTGCTGATGACGAGCGGCCTGACACTATGTTGGTAATATACAACGTGCACAACTTCGGATTGACGGCTCAGCAGGCATCCACCATTTCATCTCGTATATCGGCGGAGGTGGAACAAGCGGCGATGCAGCCGCACAAGATGACAGCGATTGCCATGGACGGCTTCAACTACACGGAGGTGGCCCGGGTGCATTTGCATGCACCTGAGATCGACAAGGGGCTGGTCATACCTCCGAGGCACAGGGAACATGCCGATGCGCGGGCTGCGGCAATGAGCGAGATGACTGAGTTGGACCCAGAGGCACCGACTCACTACATTCATGATGATCAGAGGCTTTCTCAAGTTGATAAAGTGATGATAAGCCCACCTGGGCGGTTACTTCTCCAATGGTCGATCAGCGCGATTGTCTTGCAGTACCCTGAGGACCTCTTCAGGCAGGGCGTGTCCGACCATGCGCCGTTGCGCATCGCCTTCGGCACGCGGCCTCAGAAGGCGGTGGAGGACCAGGCCGTGCCGCGCTTCGTATGTCAGGCTCCCGAGTGCAAACAATATCTCAGCCTCCCCCTCCAACATTCGGACCTGATGAAGTTGCCGACGATTGCGACACGGGCTGAGTACAAACGTCTTCTGAGGGGAGCGGCACGGCTGACCAGGAATAAGCTAGTGAGTGCTAGAACTCCCCCGCTGGAAGCCAAGATGGTCATTTTTCCGATCTAGCTCGAAGGATGTGCATTTAAACTAGTGAATTTGGTTCGGACCCTTCTCGCGACCACGACGGTTGCCTCTGAGTTTTTGGACATTTCGGATGACAATATTGCTTCGTAGGAGGCAGTATGAGCAGCTTCAGCGTGACCTTGTGGAGGGCCGCGTGGACCGTGCTGAATCTGCTCTCAAGGACTCCCCTGTATATGCTGAGAAGAAAAGAATTCGAGCGCGCGTTAGAGCGGAGAGGAGGCGTGCCAAGATGTGGGCTCCGAAGGGAAAGTCGTTACCGCTTCAGGCTGTGGTCGACTCTGCGCGTGGGGAGGTTCTTGTGTCCTCGGCGGATATGGCCTCCTCCCTTTCGGTCCCACTGGGCCCCTGTTTTCGCCCCCCGCTCGACGTCGCAGAGGCATATTGATCAGTACTTAGACAAGCATATGCACGTCTTTGACTGGCCCCTGGCTGCGCCGCCGTCGATGGGGTCGATTGCGCGCGTGATCCATGGCGCGAAACCCACGGCCCCTGGCCCTGATGGCCTTCCGTGCGCGGCATGGCGGCAATCTTCGCTCTCGCAAGAAATCTTATATGAACTAATGCTCGAGATGCTAGCTGGTTTCCCCCCTCCTGTTTTCCTCGGCGGCCTCCTTCTTATCTTTGCACCGAAGGGTCGCGAAGAGCGGGGTCGTACGTTTGTGATGAGAGCCCCGCAGAACACTCGCCCACTTGCTCTGAAGAGTACAGATGTGAAAATTATCTCGTCAGCCTGCAACCAGCGAATTAAATGGGGCCATTGCAGCACGAGCCCATAAGGACCAGAGAGGCTTCCTGTCAGGCAGGAACTTCCTAGATAATGTGGTGCTTCTGGGCTCTGAAGCGCGCATTGCTGGGATGCGCCCTGAAGCAGCGAGCGGAATGCCGCCCCTCCTCTTCCTCGACTTTGGCAACGCCTTTCCCCCCCCCCCACCAGTTCCTGTGGGCTGTGCCTGCAAAATCAGGTCCCCCAGAAGGTTTCTTGAGTCTGGCCCAGGCGACGTATACGCCCCCTGCGGCCAAGATTTCCCTGCTCGGTTGCCTCCAGACGTTTTGCATCATCAGCTCAGGCATCATGCAAGGTGCTCCTGACTCAGGGTCGCTGTGGGCTCTTATCATGGACCCCCTGATCAGAGACATGCGCAAGAGGCTGAAGAAGCATCCTGGGTCGGCGGTGGGTGTTTGTGCGGATGACGCGGGGGCTCTGGTGGGTGATCTTCGGGCTCTTGCGCGTTTCTCGGGGGCTTTTTACGCGGCAGACTTTTTAGCAGGTTTGAAACTCAAGATTCCGAAGTGTAGGCTGGTCCCTGCCCACCAAGCCTTCAGTGGGGTGGTCAGGTCCCAGGCCGCGGCTGCCCTTGAAGGGATCGCCCCGCGTTGGTGCGGCATCCCCATTGTGGGATGCGCGGAGTACCTAGGCGCGTGGCTCGGTCCCGAGGCGAAGGAGGAGGTGTGGGCCAGGGCGTTTCGGGAGTGGGTGGGAGTCATTCGTAGCCTCGCTGAGACCGCAGCACCGCCGTCGATCATGATTGCCATGTACAACAGTCGAGCTGTCTCGAAGTTTGGATATCTGGCTCAGCTGTCACCGATTTCTGAATCTATTTCAAAGTGGGAATCTTGGGCGCTCCATAAGGTTATGAGGACGCCCCCTTTCTCTCTGCCTCTCGACCAGCTGCTGGCCCTCAGACAGTGGAGTAAGCTCAGGCCCCTGTCGCTTCGCGTCCAGTGCGCTGCTGCCCTAGTCAGATCTGCCCGCGTAACTGTCACCAACTGGAAAGCCCTTGTGGGCGAAAATTCGGAATGCGGCAGAGCGTGCTCTTCCCATGACTCAGTACCTGGGAGGATCGTGGTGTCCGACCTTCTGGAAGAGTGTGCCGATTGCCCAAGTGCTCGCTGGTGCTGCCTCGGGTTTTCCAGGCTCGGCCCGCTTGCGGGCTCCGATGGCGACAGCGCTCAAATCTTTGAAGGAAGCGCAGTCGGAGAACCCGCGGGCCCCTGTTCAAAAGACGCTGGCCCGCTCGTTGGCTACCTTGACGTTTCAGGAAAATCTGGCCCCCGCGATTTTCAAGCGCCTGGTGAAGTGGGCGCCCCGTCCACCCTCCAAGCGGGCTTTGGTGGGATGCGACTGGCCCGCGATGAGAGACGCGTTTGCCGAGCTCCCACCAGCTTGGCAGGCATCGGTACTAAAAACTGTGGTGGGCGGGTGGACGACGGAGAGGAGGATGACTCAAACTGATGTGCCGTGCAAATTCGAGCGCACGGACGCTGTCGACCCCCAGTCCCATTATCTTATGTGCCCTGCTCTGTGGGCTGCTGTATCCATTGCGTGGCACCCTGAAATACCAGTCGAAGGATTTTTGGACGCTCGACTCGGCTTGGCTCGTTCATTGACCCCAGAGAGGCGAGCTTTGGCACTGCAGAGACTGGTGCTATTTTTAAAATGTATAATTCAGTGAAGGGACTGGAAGGGGCAGTGGATGACGCAGAGATTACAATTCATGCCCACGCTGCCAGAGCGCAGATGGTGCAACAGATGAGAGACATGGACTAAGGCACACTTCATCCGAGCTACGTGCGAGGAGGAGGAGGAGGAGAAGCAGGAGGAGGAAGCGGATGATGATCAGTGGCATGCAGAGGAAGACGGCGCTGCCCTGCGGAGCGCCGCAGGCATCACGGACCCGCCGCTGGCATTTGTGGAATGCGCGCGCCCCGGCGCTCTTGTGCGCGCGCGCGCCCGCGGGCTCGCCCAGGGACTGGCTATCGGGCCCGACGGGGCGGGGGGCCCTGGAGGGGCTTCCGCTCCCTCGCCGCCTTTCGAGGCCACTTCTCCCTCCCCCCGCCCCCCATGGCTCCGAGGAGGAAGCGCTACATGTCGATGCCGCTGCCCCCGTGCCTCGCGCTCGCCGTGTCTTGGGCCTCCTGGGAGGCCCTCGTCGCCGCGGCTGGATTCGCCTTGGGATTCTGGTCGGAGTGCGCCCCAAGGAAAGGTTCAGGGAGTAGCGGCACCGGTACCTTGTCCCCCAATCATGGTCCTTCCTGACCCTCCCCATGCCCCGCCCATCCCCTTGCTCTCCCACCCCTCTCTCCATCCTCATCCCTTTCCTTCGTCCCCTTTTCCCTCCCTCCTGGTCTTCGCGTTCCCTTTCTTCTCTGCTCCTTCCCATCACCTCCAGCACCCTCCCCGCAGAGAATGCATGCCGACGCTTCTTGTGGGAAACGAAACGCCTCCAGTGCTGTGTACCCTTACCATGAGCGCCAAGAGGGCGCCCTTTCCCGCAATTGGACAGACGTGTAGAAATGACCAGGGTCTGGGGTGGACCCGCCCAACGATTCGGGCTGGTCTGACTATCTTCAAGTGTTCGAGGCAGCGCAAGTACGCATGCGTTCCCTCATCTCCACGCTGGCGTTGCCCTCCAGACGCCTTCGGCCAGAGTTTCGAGACAGCGGCGCTCAGACTCGCGATTAACCCGCCTGTTGTGGGTTGCGGTCTGGGCCTGACAAGACACCCGATCGAGGGATCTGCCCTTCCAGGTCCTGGATCTCGAATGGACTCCGGTCGAATTCCCGAGCGCCGTGACGAAACATGCGATCGGGACAGGAAACGCGCATGGAGGCCCAGGGCCAAGGATGAGGAAACACGTTCCAGAGCATTTCGTCATGATTGTCAAGCGCTCTGGAGTGTTCTGGAAACGGGGCCCTTTGTGAACGCATGAATGTAAGTGGAGGGGACGGGATGAGGGGAGGGATAAGGGAGGAGAGGTCAAGAGTACGGAGGGGTACAGGATGGGGCAGAAGAAAAGGATAATGGGGAAAGGGGGACAGGGGAGGTGGGGGATCCGGTGCGCTCGTGCCGTATTTGACATCCTATCTGTCTCACCCATCCTTTCTCGCAGCACTGACTTCTTTTGTATCCGCGGACTTGGGCGTCTTAGAAGACATACATAGGTCCCCGAAGCGGCCCCATCGTGTGATGCGACAGCAGAAAGTCGGTCTGTTCATATTGGAGAAGGTGGTGAGGCATGAGCAGAAGCAAGAGGATAAGGGTGTGGCGGATGAGCAGGAGTAAGAGGAGGAGGAGGAGGAGGAGGAGGAGGAGGAGGAGGAGAGGAGGAGGAGGATCAGGAAGGAAGAGCAGGACCAGCAGCAGGATGAGTAGAAGGAGATGGAGGATCAGGAGGAGTAGCCGAAGGAGGAGGAGAAGGGGAAAAGGAGGGGGGCGGCATCGACGAGGAGGGAATCGGATTCGGAAGTGTGGCCCTTGCCACGGCCAGAGCGCGGTTCTCAATGACCGGAGCACCAACCGGTCATGGCATGCGGCCAGCATTGCAGTTGGATCACCATGTTTGAGAGACCGAACACGTTCCGATCGAACTGCATTGAGGAACGTGCCTCCTCCTCCTTCCTCCTTCTCCTCCTGCCTCCTCCTTCTCCTCATCTCGGCGGACCTCGCCGCGACGGCGCGGGGTGAGCAGGCCGTGAGCGTGTCGCGCAGGGAGCCTTGCGGCGAGCAGGCCCCGCCCAAGGAGGTATGACCTCAGGTTGTGCGGGGGCGCGCGTCGGGCTGCCTGGTTCCCTGTGCTGGGCGCGGCTCGAAGTGTCTTCTTCTGGCGCCTCTCCCGGCGTGGGTTTTGGGAGTGTCGTTTCAGGGGAGGGGCTCGCACGAACATGCTCCCCCCTCTGGGGGCGGCCTCGGGAGGCCTTTGGTTTTGCCCGTCCGTCCCCGCGGGGTGGTCCGCCTGGACTACTCTTGGTAGTCCAGGCTGGGACCGATGCCCGTCGGGGCTGCTTCGGGGTCCCCTCGTCGCCTGGGCGCCTGGCTCTGTCGCGAGCGAGCGGCGGCGATTCTGCTGACCACGAACCTTCTGGAGGCCCGCGGGGTCGTCTGCCTGCAGACGGCACCGCGGGCTTCCTTTGAAGACGCACCACCACCACCTCCTCCTCCTCCTCCTCCTCCTTCTCCTTCTTCCTCCTCCCTCCTCCTCCTCCTGTTTCTCCTCTTCCTCCGCCTCCTCCTCGTCATCTTCCGTTTTACATACTCACGCAAAATGTATTCCCGAGGTGCCGCGGCCTCTCTCCGCATCAGCTCGCCTGCTGAAGCACAAGAAGAAGGTTTGCACACATGCCTGAGCACGACAGGGACCGTTCCCCTTGTGGCGGCAGAGATCCTTGGCATGAAGCAGCTACTGGCGAGAAACTGGATTCCAACAGAGCCGAGTTGGAGCAGCCCCTCTCCGCCCAGGTCGCCGCCGCTTCAGCCAAGTTCCAAGCCACTGCAGAGAGGGTTGCGGCCGACGCTCAAGCTGCATTCCTCGCCCAAGTTCAAGGAGTTGCAGGTGCTGTCGCAGCCAGACAAGACGCCTGTGAAAATGACATTGCGGAGCTCAAACGCAGGATGGCCAACGTTGAAGATGCACGTCGCACGCTCAACACATCGATCGAAGAGATCGAATCTACGCTCGCCATCGCCGAAGCCAAGATTCCCAGCCTGAACATCATCAACCTTGGAGACTGGAATCGACCTGGACATATCGGTACACTGTTTGGGCTCTAGGGCTGACGCTGCCAAGGATCAACTTCAACACGCTCTCGCTCCATGTTTCAAAGTTGGCGGAGTGGAACTGGCAAATGTGCGTTTCAACAACGCAGCCCCTGGCAAACGTGTGTCCATCACTCTTGGGGGGGGGGCGATACCGTCGTTCGACCACTTGCACAAGCTCTTCACAACCGCCATCGAATCGGACTCGACTGGCGGAAGATTGTCATCTCCAATGGCAACGTCGACCACGACCCCTTCGCCAGCGCAGCCAAAGGTCCCAAGCTGGTACTTCAAGAAGTACAACTCAAGCGTCTCGCCAAACACACTGCCTCTGCCTTCCCCGCGCTCGACATCCGCGCGCGCATGACCGATGCTTTCCTCTCTGTCGATAACGAACCCACCGTCCGCATCTATGTGGGGAGCTCTCCTTCAGAGCCGACGAGAGTGCAATGGTCTGATTCAGCTGTTCGACTTGGGGCATCGGAACAACACCGCAACGACCTGGGCACCGCTCTCGACAACTCCCTTGGCAACACACTGGAAGCAGCATCGTGGTTTTGGCACGCGCTGGACGCCGTGGATGCGCGCAGATTCGAATATGGATTCTTCCACTGTCAGCTGGATTGCGCAGGCACACCTGCATACCGACCCGCGCAGAAGGGACATCAAGCGGATGATCCAGACCCCGTACCTCGCGAAGTTCTCCATCATCGCCCTTCGGGAGATGCATGGGATCCGGACCTCATTGCACCAAATGGCCAACTCCATGTCGATCAAATACCAGGCGTACCACAGCCCTATCCCAGGCAACCTCGCCGCGGGTGGCATTGCCTTGCTCGCCCCCAAGTACTTCCCCAAGCCTGGTGACATTCACCAGACAGCCAAGCCCGACATACATTTTTCTTCCATTGTTCCTGGCCGTGCTGCTCTCCTTCGCATCGCCGGTGTCACGAAGCAGCACACTCATAGCTATCTGAACATTCACAACCGCGGCCTCCCAGCTGCTGACCGCGCTGCCATCAAGCACGCTTGCTTATCCGCGAACAACGAGGCGCTGGCCGACCTCGACCACACGCTGTTCTGCATGCCCGGGGACTTCAATATCGCTGAACATCCAGCGCGCAGTCTCACTCGGCCTATGGCCGTTCATGCGAATAAGAGGTATCAGTATCAGCCTACGTTTTGGAGGCAGCTTTTCCGCGTGCTCACTGAGATTACTACCACATCGACTACTCATCGCTGTGCAGCGAGCTCTTCTGAATCCTGCATTGGCCGCTTTGTCGCGTCTTTCGCCCCCAGCTACATCCCGCTGATCGAGGCCGCCATGGTTTCTGATGGTTCCCCCCTGGAACGCTTGGGCAGCCCAGCCAGCGACCGCAAGCACATGCAGGCTCGCATCCGACATTGTGCACGACGCCCACCGGCTGAGCGAGGCATCCCCGCTTTTCTTTTCCCACGCACGTTCTATGCGAGCGCCATCGAGCACCCTTCCCTGGACGCAGAGCACGACAACCTCTCCCCGATCGGCAAGTGGAAAGCCCCCATGGGAACATGGTTAATGCTGCGCCCCAAGCTCGCGACGCACCCGCGCGCCTCCATCCCGACAGCCCCAAGGCCGACCGCAACGCCATCTCCAAGGAGGTTAACTCCATGACCATGCGCAGTATTGCCAAAGCGGCGTGGTGCCAAGACGCCAAACTCGCCAGCATCCTCATCGACGTCGCTACTTGGCGCGAAGTACCTCCAGGTGAACGCAACCCCAGCGCCCCCGCACCACAACTTTGTCGTCGCGCTGAAGGGCCCTGCGCCCTTCGCGACTGGCGCCGCCATCTACCGCGACGCAGCCTCTGAGCGCCACGCTCAAGCTGCTGCCGCCGCCCGCCAAGCTTTCCGAGAACAGCGGCAGCTTCGAGGCGACAGGCGGAGGAAGCGAGTCAACACTGAGCGTCGGAAAGGGGAGCTTTGGACGCCCTTTTCCAAGCGCCTGGTGCTTGCTGGTATCCGAGTGACCCGCGGAGCATCCAACGCGCTGCTCAAGGACCCAATGGACATGCACTCCGCGATTCAACCTCACTGGATGCGATCTTCATCGGCAAGCCCGTATGCACCAGCGCCATGAACTCCTACCATGACTCGGTCTTTCCCCCGCATGCCGACTTCCGACACCGCGATTCCCGACGAGCACGACCTCTTTCTGGCAGCGAAGAACGCCTCTGATTCTGCACCTGGACCTGGCGGCCTTCCTTATCGTGCCTGGCTCGTCACTCCCAACAATTTCTCCATCCTTGCCGAGCTCGCCGCTCATCTGTCCGACGGCCTCGCTATCCCGCGCGCGCTCAACCGCGCTATGATGGCATTGTACCGAAAGGAGACGAACCTGCTGGGCAATCAGAGCGCGCTCGAGAGCCAGGACAGTTGCGCCCCTCGCCACGAAGAACACTGGCGTGAATATCATCGCTTCCGCCACGAACAGAAATCTCAAGCCGCTGATGAAAAAAATACCTCGTCCATCCAGCGAGGCTTCGTACGTGGACGTCAGTTCTTGGGCAACATTGTCGAGGTCGGCGCGTGCAGTCGCAAGTGCAGCATTCTTCCTGGCGCCCAAGATCGTTGACCATGCTTTCTGAGCGTGAACATTGCGGCCGCCTTCCCGAGCCTCTCGCACACTTGGATGTGACACGTCCTACAGAGATGGGGTATACACGGCCACAAATCCACGCTGCTTCAGGCATTTTACCACATGCCCGTCGCTCTACTCGAAATGGGGGGCACGCGCCGACCGCCTTTCCTGTCCTCTAGTGGGGTCGCGCAAGGTTGCCCTCTCAGTTGCACCATCTGGGCAGTGAGTTCCGACCCTCCTCTGATCGGCATCAGCGAATTCTTCAAGGCAGTCCAAAGGGGTATTGCCACGGCATGTGCGGATGATCTTGGATGTGTTCGTGCCTGTCTACGCGACATTGAAGAACTGCGACCTCATCTCTTTGCTACTGCTCAATATGCTGGCCTTCATCTTCAACCACACAGATGCGTCCTGATCCCCCTCTGCACCATCGCCTCCTCCGACCTGATCAACAGCATCAAAGACACTCTCGCTCACATGAACGCTGACTGGGCCCTCTTCAATATCGAATCTTTTGCCGAGTACCTAGGCGTCTACGTGGGGCCTGGAGCTGACGAGCGTATGCACTGGTCTGGCCCTGCCGCCAAGTGGCTTTACCGAGCCCAGATCCTCGGCGAACCTCACGCACCGATCCAGCAGAACATCAAGTCGCACAACCCTTCCGCGCTGACGACGCTACCCTATGTTGGCCAACTCTTTCCTGCACCTGAAATGATTTTCATCCGCGAGAGCCATGGCCTCCACAAGATAATCCGCTCGCCGCCTTCGGCCTTCAGCATGCTGGACATATCGGGTCTGAAGAATTGAGCTGGAGCTGACATCCCCGAGGGCGCAGGAGTACTGCTGAGTGCGACGCTGTGGAGAGCTGCTACCACCACCATCAAGTGCTGCCCCCCCAACTGATAGACGTGCTCAGCGAGTCCGCCATGGAGAACCTCCCCATCGTCGCTTCGGTGAAGGGGCGTTGGTCTGCCGAGTGTTGGGCCGCTCCCTTCTCGATTGCCCAACATCTCCTAGCGGCGAAGAATGCCGTTGCTTTCCCGACAGGCGAGGGCTCCAGATTCATGGCTCCAAAAAATAGCCAGAATGCAGTCTCCCCAAACAGGATTTTTTAACCCACTGCGGTTTCCAAGGTCGATTGCGTGCCCGTCCAGTGCGGGTTGGCATGGCATGTTAAAACATGATGGCATGATTTTTGTACATGAGGTGCTTGCACATGATAACATGGTGCATACTCCCTCATCCACATCATCATCCTCCTTCTCCCTTCCGTATCCTCTTCCTCCTCCTTCTCCTCCTCCTACTCCACCTCCTCTTCATCCCGAACGGCATCTCGGAACCCAGAGTTGCGAGGATGTCTCCAGAGTAACGGGCTGGACCACCTCGCGCGCGGCATCTCGGACCCCAGAGTTGCGACGATGTCTCGTGCGAAACGTGCTGCGAGGAAGTCTCAGGCGAAACGAGCCGGACCACCTCGAGCGCGGCGTCTCAGGGCTCCGAGTTGCGGGGGCCTCCTGGGGCCTCCTGGGGACCTCCTGGGGTTTCCTCCTGGGCCTCCTGTGGCCTCCTGGACCCCACCTGGGGTTTCCTGAAGCTTCTTGGGCTCCCAGGGGGGGATATCTAACAGGTGGCCGTCTGGGCCCCCCCAAATGCGGGGGGGGGGCCACAAGAGCAGGAAAAACCAACGAATCGACACTGGATGTGTATTAACTTGACCCGTTATGATATGGGGCCTCCTGGGGCCTCCCTGGAGCCTCCTGGGAATCTCCTGGGGACCCCTGGGGCCTGTCCTAAGGGTCCTGCAGCCTCCTGAAGCTCTCTGGCGCCTCCTGGGGCTCTCAGGGTCCCAGGGGGGATATGTAACATGTGGTCTTCTGGGTCCCCCAGGCTGGACCACCTGTTGCGCGGCATCTGGGAGCTCAGAGTTGCGCGAATGTCTTGTGCGAAACGGGGGCCGGACCACCTTGCGCACGGCATTTGAGAGCTCAGAGTTGCGAGGATGTCTCAGGCGAGACGGGCCGGACCACCTCGCGCAGGGCATCTCAGAGCTCAGAATTGCGAGGATGTCTCAGGCGAAACGGGCTGGACCACGTGGCGCGCGGCATCTCAGAGCTCAGAGTTGCGATGATGTCTCAGGCGAAACGGGCTGGACCACCTCTTGCGCGGCAGCTCAGAGCTCAGAGTTTCGAGGATGTCTCAGGCGAAACGTGCCAGACCAAGTCGCGCGCGGCATCTCAGAGCTCAGAGTTGCGAGGATGTCTCAGACGAAGCGGGCGGGACCACCTCGCGCAAGGCATCTTAGAGCTCAGAATGTCGAAGGTGTTTCAGGCGAAACGACCCGGACCACCTCTCACGTGGCATCTCAGAGCTCAGAGTTTCGAGGATGTCTCAGGCGAAACGGGCTGGACCACCTTTCGCGCGGCATCTCAGAGCTGAGTGTTTCGAGTATGTCTCAGGCGAAATGGGCTGGACCACCTCTTCTGCGGCAGCTCAGAGCTCAGAGCTTCGAGGATGTCTCAGGCGAAACGGGCCGTCCCGCCGGTCGTCCCGTCCCGCCGGTCTGGCCCACCATGCTTCGGTGCGGCACGCTATCCACGTCCCAATCCCCGACCGTCAATGTCCCGAGTTTTTCCGAGACTTCCGCGCCGCGGAGCGGAGCGACACGCTATCCGCCCGCTTGCAGGGCATGGCGTGTCGCTGGGGCCGCCGCCGCGACACGTTCAGCAACAGTTCCCGACCGCAGATCCCGGTCTCGCAGACCCGATGTTGCGTGCTATTCGGTTCGATTTGTCCGATCCGATGCCGACCAATCTTGGGAGGGAGGACTGCCGCGCCGCCGCCGTTTACCAACGGCGAGGACGAGGACGAGGCAGCTGACGACGACGACGACGACGACGACGACAATGACGACGACAATGACGACGACGACGACGACCACGACGACGACGACGACGACGACGACGACGACGACGACGACGACGACGACGACGACAATGTCGTCGCCGACGGTGACAACGGTGCCACCGAGGATGACCGCGACGGCCACGAGCAGGATGTCCCCACAGATCCGACGCAGACCTAAGTCGGGCCTGCCATGCCCTTCTACAGGAGGGATCCATAAATAGCCTGGGGACGATGTTTTGATTATTTTTCATCACTTTGGGAATCTATTTGGAGTACTTTCATGTTTCGCCCAAAATTCCCTTCTTTCTAGGGGGACAGGCCCGACCTAAACGCAGACATTGGCTGCGTCTTCGGCCCGATTTTTCCGATCTGGGCCCGGCGGGCGCGGTGGGCCCGGCGGACGCCGAGGCGACAGGTCCCTGCCCCCGGCGGCGCAGCTCGCGGCCATCCGCCAGCAGATGTGCGAGGAGACTCGGGTGGGGTTGGATCGTGTCGGGCACGTCCCTCTACAGGAGGGATATCCAGAAATCACCAAGAAATAATTTGGGGACAATTGTGTTGGCTACTTTGGGTCATGTTGGGGTATGTTTTGACTATTTTTTGAATTTTGGTCAAACATCCGCCTGTAGGGGGACATGCCCGACCTGAGGCTAGGACTAGGGTAAATCCATTCCAGAGCGTTCCGGAACGCTATGAGAAGGCCGCGGCGCCCGAGACACCCTCCAGAGCCGCCAGATCTTTGATATTCTCGATTGATCCTCCCCCGATGTTATCGTCGTCCTGGCTTCGTCTTAGAGACGCGCGTCGCGCCCTCGACGGCCCCTCTGCCGTGCACCACCCCCAGACCGCCCATCGAAAACATCAAGACGGAGGTGTTTTCCGTAACTATCGACGTCTGAGGGCCCTCGGCTTGCCCCAGGGCCGTCAAGAAATATCCCGGACGAGAAAACAGGTCCCCGGGAAGTGGTCCAGAGCTTTGGGAACGTTGCAACAAAACCTATATATCGTCTGATTCTGCCTTCTCTTGGGCCTCCTCACCCTCTTTCTCCTCCTTCTCCCCCTCCTCCTTCTCCTCCTCCTCCTCCTCCTCCTCCTCCTCCTCCTCCTCCTCCTCCTCTTGTAGGCAGGCCCTTCAGGGGCGTCTGCGTTCACGTCCGGTCGGGAGGGGTCACGATAGTGCCGAGGTGACTGACGAACGACACCCCCAACGTCTGTACCTGCTCCTCTGCCTCTTTCCTCCAAACTTTCGGCGGTCCGCACGGATTTCCTGGATCGGCACTGGAGACCCCTCACTGGAGCGCGAAGCACACCACCAGGGGGTCCCATCGCGGACCCATGAATTCCGCGCGGACCGCCCAAAGTTTGTTTTGTCGGATTCAAAGAAAAGAGCTCCCGACCCGCCTCCCTCGCACATCCTGCACACTGTGGCCGCCTGGGCCCAAGGGTCTTGGCGCTCCATTCGCATCCCGCCTCGCGTCTTGACCACTGATTACCGCATGCCGCGGCCGCCAGGCCCAGCTTGGGTCAGTGATCCCTGGGGGGCCCCCTCATGTTCTCGGGTGGGGATCGCTCGAAGCCACATAGTTGTGCCCCACCGGTGAGATTCGACGTTGCACACAAAAACGCAACATCGCGAAAAATCGCGACGTGAGCCCTACCCGATCTTTCTGCTGCGTTCGTCGGGCCGGATCGATCCGTGGCGGTCACCAGGCCCGAGACCGAGCGAACACGCCCAGTGTGAAACATATGGATCGCCCACATCCCGGGGCCTCCTCAAAAAATTAGCCTGGCGAAGGACCCAACCATGTGCAGTTGTGCGTGTCGCAATTCTGACTATCTTCTTCGGTGGCGCTCCCTATGGGGCCACGAAGCGTGTGAGGGGTGTGCCGAAATGGGTGCGGCGGACGCATGTGGATGGTGGCACTGGGGCCTTCGGGGGAGCTCCCGATGGGCCACGAAACGTGTGAGGGGTGTGCCGAAATGGGTGCGGGAGACGCATGTGGACGGTGGTCATGGCGCCTTCGGTGGAGCTCCCGATGGGCCACGAAACGTGTGAGGGGTGTACCGAAATCGGTGTGGGGGACGCATGTGGACGGTGGCACTGGTGCCTTCGGTGGAGCTCCTGATGGGGCCACGAAACATGCGGGTGTGCCGACATGGGTGCGGGGGACGCATGTGGACGGTGGCATTGGAGCCTTCGGGGGAGCTCCTCATGGGGCCGCGAAACGTGTGAGGGGTGTGCCGAAATGGGTGCGGGGAACGCATGTTGACGGTGGCAATTGGGCTTTCGGTGGAGCTCCGTATGGGGCCACGAAAATTGTGAGGGGGGTGTCCAAATGGGTGCGGCGGACGCATGTGGACGGTGGCACTGGGGCCTTCGGTGGAGCTCCCTATGGGGCCACGAAACGTGTGAGGGGTGAGCCGACATGGGTGCGGCGGACTCATGTGGACGGTGGCAATTGGGCCTTCGGTGGAGCTCCCTATGGGGCCACGAAGCGTGTGAGGGGTGTTTCGAAATGGGTGCGGGGGACGCATGTGGACGGTGGCACTGGGGCCTTCGGTGGACCTCCCGATGGGGCCACGAAACGTGTGAGGGGTGTGCCGACATCGGTGGGGGACGCATGTAGACGGTGGCACTGGGGCCTTCGGTGGAGCTCCCGATGGGGCCACGAACTGTGTGAGGGGTGTGCCAAAGTGAGGGGTGTGACGGGAGCAGGAAGGAGGAGGAGGAGGAGGAGGAGGAGGACGAGGAGGAGGGAGAGGAAAGAGAGGATTGAACGCGGGGCGCTGTTTTTTTTGAAAACGAGGACCCACCACCACAGGATGGTTGGGAAAAACAAAATCATGCTCTCGGCTTTCCCACCAGCCTCAGGAGACCGGCCTGGGCTCCGCGGACATCTGCGGCGAGTTCGAGGTGCGCTTCAAGGGCGAGCAGGGGGCCGGCGCCTTGGGGCCGCTCCTGTCCCCCTCGTCTTCCTCGGCTGCTTCCGCTCCTCATGCGTTCGCTCCTCCTGATTTCGCTCCTGCCGCTGCCACTCCTCCTCCGCCTTGGCATCCTCCCTCCTCGGGGCCTCCCCCTCAGCCCGCCTCCCGCTCGGGACCGAGCCGTCTCGTCCTCATGCTATCGCTCCTCGGTTGCCCAGCTCCGCGGCTGCTCATCCCCAGGTGAGGCTGCAGCGTCTGCTCAGTCCCTGCAGGTTTCTGAGGACGAGGTGTTTCTACTTGGCGAGCCAAACGAAGTTTAGGCTGGCTGCACTGCGCGGAGAGGGGAACCTGCCGCATCTAAACAGTCATACATTCATACGCGCTCCCACTCCTCCCCCGCCTCCTCCAGCTCCTTCTCCCGCGCCTTATTCGAACCCCGATCGTGGCTGTCGTCCTTCTCCGCCTCCCACTCTTCCACCCCCTCCTGCACCTTCTGCCTCTTCTCTCTTCACTTCTTCCGCCTCCTCAGGGATGAGACGATAGGTGATGAGGGGTACGATGAGGAGAAGAGATGGATAAGGAGGATGAGGAGGAGTTGGAGGAGGAGCATGAGGAGTCGAAACCGGAGGAGGAGGAGGAGGTACAATTAGAGGGAGAGGCGAGGGAACGAGGAGGAACATGATGCGGAAGGTGAGGTGAGGAGGATGAGGAGGCAGAGTAGGATAATCAGTAAGAAGATGAGTAGGCCAACGGGGACGCACTTCCGACACGAATTTCCCCGACCCATACATTCCGTCCACTCCCTCCCTCCGTATCCCTCCTCCCCTGCTGATCAGCGGGCAGCCCTCCAATAAAGCACACCATGTTCGAACGCAGTTGCCCGGTCCATGCCTGTAGGCGGTCTGGCTCCGCTCAGCTAGGCTGCCCACTCTTTTATCATTCGGATACTCGGCACATCGGTTCTCTCATGGGACAAGCGCATCAGAGCGTCAGCGTCAGTCGAGAAAGAAGAAAGAGACATATTGAGGGACGTGGGAGAGAAAGTAGACAGCAATACCGCTGTCGTTCGCCGTTGCAGGCAGGCAGTTCGCTGTTTTGTTTGCCAGCGCTGCATTGGTGCAGCCGGTCTTGACCAAACCATCCAGGCCAAGCCACGCCCTCTATGGTCACCAGTGGCTCTGAGAACACATGTCGAAAGCAGGTAAAACGTGGGCGGTGCTCACCGCGACAGGACCTCCCCGGCCATGACGACGCACGCGAGTGCAAGCGCGAGAGATTCTCGCCACGGTTTGGCTGGAGCACAACAGCCTAGAGCCAGAGGACAGGCCACCTCCTGTCCAGTTGCCTCGTGGAGAGCGAGGTGGCCACATTACTACCTGCGGGGAGCGAGCAAGCCAAGCCCGGCCAGCGGTGGAGAGATGTCGAGACTCCACGCGGTTTCGTTGCTGGTGTTCCCTGGGTGCCCGGATGCGCAGTCAGACGGCATGCGATGTCATCTGGTCTGGCCGCTGATCGTCACCTCAGTGATCCCCCTCCTTCTTCCAACATGGTGCTGATAAGCAAACCTGCGGAGAGGGAGGAGAGGCGGGGAGGGGAGAATGGAAGGAGGCAAGCTAGGTGCGCTCGCGCCACATCTGACATCCGACCCAGGAGGAAGGGGAGGATGGGGAGGAGGTGGAGGTGGAGAAGGATGAGCAGGAGAAGGAGGAAGGTAGATGCACCCCCATCGCAGTTGCCGCCAGCGCTCTCCGAGGTCGGGAGCGCGGTGCAGCGTGAGTGGATGGACACCATCGCCCACGAGGCCGCGCTGCCTTTGGCCACTGCAGCAGCGCGCTCCGCTGTTCCGCACGGGGGGACAATCATCGGGGGAAGATCGAGCACCCCCTCCCTCCCTCCTCCCTCCTCCCTCCCCCTCCTCCTCCTCCTCCTCCTCCACCTGGGGCTCGGGCTGGTGGCATGAAAGTCGAGGTTCGACCTTGCCATCCAGTTCTCCCACTCCTCCTCCTCCTCCTCCTCCTTCTCCTCCTTTCAATCCTCCTCCTCCTCCTCCTCCTCCGTACCAATTTTGGCTCAAGCCGCGTTCCCCGCTTTCTCCGCAGCCTTTTCGCCCATGGCCGGTGGCGACTGGGCTAACGTGGGCAGGGACGAGATGGCCGTACGGGATGAGGCCCCTGGGGGTGGCCTTGTGAAACGCTCAGCCGCGGAGCGGCGCATGGCAAGGGCAGCGGCGGCGAGCGCTGCGGATGGGGCCATGCGGCGGCTGCAGCGGCAGCTGGCGCATGCCCTTGCCGAAGCCGAGACGCTGCGGGCTGAGCTGGGCGCGCTGCGGGCGGTACCCAGCGGCTGCGACGAAGTGAAGGGGCGTGTTCGTCTCATCGTTCCCGTTCTTGCTGCTGGACTCTCAGATGCTGATGTGCCACCTGCTGTGGTGGCGCGCCGCAACCTCGCGGCCCACGAGTTCGGAGTGCCTGCTGCGCAGATCGCGGAGGCTTTCCAGGCAGAGCTCAACCGTCTTCAACGTCAAGGTGCTGGTGGACGGCGTCGTCGCAGGAGGCTCCGACCGCATGGCGCGGGCGCGGAGGACGGGGCTGTCGAGGTTGCGCACCTGACCCTCGACTCGGCGGGAGAAGGGCCCTGCTCGTCGGATGCTGCCGCGGAGGCCGTCCCTGGCTTGCTCTGCGCGTGCTGGGCCATCTTGTATTCTGCTGCGCGGCGACGTGCTCTACCTGTTGCCGCTGAAGAGTCGACGGATGTCTCGTGTGCTAGCAGCAGCGGCCATGATGAGGTCATGGGCGACGACTTCTCCGAGGTCGCTGCGGTTGCTGACGTCCGTGTTGAGCACGCGTTCCGTGCTGGCACTCCCGTTTTCGTGCCGTGGAGGGCGATGGAATGCCCCACGTTCGAGCGGGCCTTGGCAGCGCCCGTCGACGTTGCCATCATGAACGATGGGCCCCGCGATGGCGAGGAGCAGCAACGCATGGCGGCGGCTGACTGTGCCGAGGCTGCCTCTGTGTCGAAGAGGAAGGGTCGCTGTCGGGAGCTGCTGGAGAAGGCCGAGCGGGACGGCTGTTCCCCCCTTCTCCCCCGAGGTCATGGACCAGCTCCTCGGCCGCAGGTGACGCTGCTCCTTGGGGACTCGTCGTTCCTGCGCTTCGGCGTCTCTGAGGGCCACGTCAAGGTGGGGGGGTTCAGGGCTGGTCAGGTCCAGCCCTGGCCCCCCGCGGCCGGCGCGCACGTGTGTGCACATCCCCGCCATTCCCGCCATTCCTCCTCCTCCTCCTCGTCCTCCTCCTTCTCCTCCTCTCCCTCCTCGTCCTCCTCCTCCTCCTCCTCCTCCACCTTTTCCTCTTGGTGGAAGTGTTCGGGCGTTTTCGTTGTGCTTTCTACGGTTTTTCTAGCCTCGGGGTGCTTTCCGGCAGCTGCGCCTCGCCGAGAGCGTTCCAGGGGTGCCCGGATCGTCTCGAACGGTCTCCCGAGACCCGACTTATAACTTGCAAACCACCACCGTTTTCGCCGTCGCCGTCGTGGGTGTCGTCGTCGGCCGTCGTCGCTGAGGCTGCCGTCGATCGTCGCCGCCGTCCAGCCCCTGCAGAGGCGCGCAGCGCTCCTCCTCACACGACGTCCGTCAGCAGCGTGAGGCGATTTGTCAACACGCCAGACAGGCCCTGAGATCTGGGCGTTGCATTTTTTCGCCGGACGTTTTCGCACGGTTTCGCGTCCAGGGTCCCTCACAAATCGATGCAGCTCGAAACATGCAGGGGAACTGTGGGTTTCGGGGCGCTGGTCGTCATCTCCTGCAATTTGTGTTTTGAAAATGTCGCAACGTCGGATCTTCAATGACGGACCCCAGAACGCATTCCGGGTGTAGATGCGGCGTGAGGCGTGCAGTTATGCTTTCGATTGACTGTGGAACCCTGTTAATGGTCCAGTCCAGTCCCTGTGCTTCTCCTCCTCGCGTGACTCCTCGTCTCCCTCCTCCCCCTCTCCTCCTCCTCCTGGCCGACCGTGTGCCCCATCGCCCCTCGTCGCCTCTCGCCTCTGTTTCCTAATCTCTTTTTTCTCTCCTCCCCTTGACGTTCCGCCTCCTCCTCCTCCTCCTCCTTGTCCTCCTCCTCCTTCTCCTCCTCCTCCTCCAGGTTGCAAAGTGTCCTGAGATAGTGGTGGAGAGATTCTGGCTCCACGGGGAGGACGAGTTGTGGGCCCAATAGGAAGCAGCACATGTTAGAAATCCCCCTCCTGCGCACACTCCTCGCCCTCTTCACGCTCCCCGTCAGGGACATCCTGTGGCGAGCTCCGCCGATAGTGCGCTGACGCGATGCCGGGGGGGAGGCAACAATGGACCGCCTGCACGTTGCTGGCGCTCTGTGGATCTGCATCTTTAGATGCTCTCATACCGTTCGATCGCCCACTCTTGAAAGTACCCAGCCTCGCGCGCCTCGTCTGTCGTCCTCGAGCTGTCATTTCGACGAGTCCCCTTCTCCGTCCTGGGCATGGCCTCCCTGTGTTGTTACCCATCTTTTGACCATACGTTGAAGATTAGCCATTGCTCTCAGCTTGCTCGTATAGACATGTAGATTCGCAATATACGCCTGTCAGTCTGCCTGCCTGTCTGACAGTTTGTATGTATGGATGTCTGTCTGTCAGTTTGTCTGTCTGTCTGTCTGTCTGTCTGTCTGTCTGTCTGTCTGTCTGTCTGTCTGTCTGTCTGTCTGTCTGTCTGTCTGTCTGTCTGTGTGTATGTACGTATGTATGTACGTATGTATGTATGTATGTATGTATGTATGCATGCATGCATGCATGCATGTATGTATGTATGTATGTATGTATGTATGTATGTATGTATACATGTATGTATGTATGTATGTATGTATGTATGTATGCATGCATGTATGCATGTATGCATGCATGCATGCATGCATGTATATATGTATGTATGTATGTACGTATGTATGTATGAATGTATGTATGTATGTATGTATGTATGTATGCATGCATGCATGCATGCATGCATGTATGTACGTACGTACGTATGTATGTATGTATGTATGTATGTGTATGTGTGTATGTATGTATGTATGTATGTATGTATGTATGTATGTATGTATGTATGCATGTATGTGTGTGTATGTATGTATGTATGTATGTATGTATGTATGTATGTATGTATGTATGTATGTATGTATGTATATATATATATGTATGTATGCATATACCTCTTCCTATATTTTCATAAGCCCGAGCGGGGGGAACACCCGTCCCCCCACCCCCACCCCCAAAACCGGACTCCCGGGACCTGGGGCTTTGGGGCCCTCCGGACGGGCCTCGATGCGGCCACCGGGCCTCGCAAGGCGTTTTGCCAAGCCTTCCCAGCACACTTAGGGCGATCAGGGGGGTCATCGGAGACGTCCCAGAGACCCCCAAGACAGCACAAGAGCGCTCCAAGAGTGACCGACGTGACCTCAAGATGGCCCAAGAGGCCTCCAGGACGGCCCCAAAGAGGCCTCCAAGAGCACTCCCAAGAAGGCCCCCCGAGGCAAAAATCATTGATTTTCTGTCGGTATTTGGTGAATTTTGGGGTTCTCCTCTTTTTGGCTTCCCGACGCTCCAAGACGGCGGTCTTCTGGGCGTCCGAAACCGCCTGGGGGGCCTCCAAATCGCCCCACAACCATCCGAAAGGGCTTCCAGGCAGTCCAAGAGAGCCCCCAAACGGCACCAACACGGGTCCAAGATGGCCCTCAGAGAGGCCCATGACGGCCCAAGATGGCCCAAAGACACCATCCGAAGAATTCCAAATCGTGATTCGGTCGTTCAGGGAGACGGCGGTTGGAGGCAGGGTGGCCCGAGGAAGCCCCCAGAGGCCCCCAGAATACGCCCAGGAGGCCTCCAGAAGGCCTTAAGAAAGCCCGAAGAGGCTATCCAAGGAGGAGCCTCCGCAAAAAAGAGCTGAGGAGCATGGGGCGAATGCGCAGGATATGGCGAAAATAAGGAGCAAGAAGCATGGAGGAAGGATAACGAATAACATCATTATAGCGGCGATGCCGGAAAAGGCAACCAGGAGTTATCGCTAAATTGTCGGCTATACCTTCCTGCCATTCCGCCTGCATACCAAACTTCAGGACCAAGGTGCATGGCGCGAAGCGCCACTGCAGTCTTGTGTGTATATATATATATAGATACATGTTTCCATATATATAGCTATATGTCTATCTATATATCTATCTATCTATATATCTATAGTTATATATACATGTATGCATGCATGTCTGTATGTATGCATGCATGTATGTACGTACGTACGTATGTATGTTTGTATGTATGTATGTATGTATGTATGTATGTATATGTGTGTATGTATGTATGTATGTATGTATGTATGTAGGTAGGTAGGTAGGTAGGTAGGTAGGTAGGTAGGTATGTATGTATGTATGAATGTATGTGTGTATGTATACATGCATGCATGTATGTATGTACGTATGTAGGTACATTCGTTTCTACAGCGAGTAAGCTCGACAGGACAGTACCTCCCATCACAGACTGGCGCCCTTCATCTGTGTGCCAGCAGCTATTCATACGTTCCAAGAGGACTCCGTCCGAGATGCCTAATAATTGCACAGATATTCCTCCTTCGCCAGGGGCGGCTAGTCCATAACCGTGTCTGGCACTTGCGAGGGGCTGAGGGCCCTGACGCTCCTGGCCAAGTGTGGTACGGGCGCCCCTCCTAACACTCCCGCTCCTGCTACCCTGGTCTCGGGGGTCATCTTAGGTTAAAGGTCTCGTCGTGCCAGTTCGAATTCCCTGTTTTGGGCCATTACTGCGGCTGGGGCCCCCTTGGGCCGTCTGTTGGGCGATCTTCGCTCTCCAAGAAAGAAAAAGCCCCTACTCGCGCTCCCGCTCTTCCTCCCCCTCTTCCTTCTTCTGCTTCTTCTTCTTCTTCTTCTTCTTCTTCTTTCTCTACCCCTCCAGCAGGCAAGGGTCACAAACTTGCAGCGCCGCTGGTACTCGTACTTCTGGCCCTGTTCACCACGGCAGTGATCGGGCACCTGAACAAGAAGATCGAGACAGAGGGCATGCTGGACACCACGCTGGCATGGAGCCAGAACATTATTCAACAATGGATGCAGGCGACGTCGCTAGAGAATGGCAGAGATTTCGTGGCGGAGATTTGTTTCCGTGTGCGAATTGGCAGAAGCATGCAAGCCCAAGGGCCAGGAGGACGACGGCAACGCGAAGGGCAAGACAATGTACATCATCAATCCACTGCCGCACGTGAGGATGGCGCTGCAGCACAGCAACTTGGAGAAGGAAACGTTGACGATCTTGGACAACTACTCCCCCCCCGTTCTTCAAACAGGCCTTGGGGCCATGTGTGGCTGGAGCTCAGCGAAGAGAGAGGGCGATGCCCAGGACCGAAAACCGAGCTGGATCGGGTGGGGGAGACGAAGCTGCAGAGCGTGAAACAATAAGAGACGATCAGCAGCAGCCAGCCAGCTGCCCGAGCCAACCTCAGCACCACCATGCAGTCGAGCACTGCCAGTCGAGCTTACGATCGCTCCCTCGCCGCAGACTCGGGGAGTTCAAGTGACACATGGTTCAAGAAAAGTCACAGCACGACTATAGCAGCTAAAAGAAATAGCCACGCAAAGTGACATAGGCACAGAGCCATACCAGCTAGCGCTCCGATATCGAGCAGATCGACGACAACAGACAAAGTATGGATATGGAATTGGGGAATGGATGAAGGCGGAAGGCACTTCGAGTGCGACGGGTACCCGACCGATACCAGGGAAACTTATAGCGCCATCCGCATAACACCCACCACTCACTCAGGCTCCCTCCTCCCTTCCTCCCCCCAGTACTACGGCAGGCGCGTGGACTGAAGTACTATCAACAGGCCCCCAAAAATGATTGAAGCTGCGTCGAGAGGTCGCCAAGGGGCAATGGAAACTTACCGGCTTGCCTCCAAGGCCCAATGACACCAGCGATATGGAAACCTACCTACAACCAGTTTTTGCATCGACGGACACAGGGACTATTTTTCGCGACGCAACAAGTTTGTGGCATTTTGTTCGACTTCCCAGTCTTCAATCTACTGCCGCGGGAGCGTCATTCCTACCAGCACAGATCGAGCTCAGAGGAGCGACCATGGACCGCAGAGGCCAGCCAAACACACGCTCATCTGGGCCGGCGGAACCATCAAGAGCGACGACACGATGGCAGCCAATCAATACATCAACATGTGGGTCGTAATTCGCCACATGTTGAACCACAAGAAGAGCATCGATATGAGCCGGGTGAGATGTCAGTCGTGCCCTTGCGTGTTCGCAGCGGGGAGATGGACACGCAAGAGGACAGGGCCATACGGGAGAACCAGAAGAGGAGCATCGACCAGTCTATCCACCACCTGGAGATGCCGAGGTCCAGCATGACGGAGAGGCATCCGGGGTGGAGCCTGCATTTCGAGCGCAACTGCGACAAGCGCCAGGCCGACGAGACGACAACAAGACAGCCTCGCAGTAGAGCATCACCCAGCAGATGGAGGACACCAACGGCGACGACAAGAAGGAGAAGAGCCAGGCGCGGTACCCAAAGAGCTCAGAGAAGTGAAGGGCCCCTGGTTGGATGTCAAGCCGCCGCCCGCTCGACCCAGAGAACCTAGAGACGTGCAAAGCGGATGGCTGGATCCTAAACCGCCCGCCTTCGACCATGCGAATCCAGAGACGTGGAGCGCGCGCGGCTGGAAGTTGAACGATCCCCCGAAGGGCAACAGCGATGTTTCCAGCCAGCCCGAGAGCACATCGCCGCTGGGAACGTCTTGGGAGGCCCCCAAGCAGACAGAGAAAGACAACCAGAAGGAGCAGCTAAGCATCGGGGCCCCGCGTTTCCAGGACGCTCGCGAGAACAGCGTTTTAAGGAAGCAGATCATCTCCAGCCGCATTCATAGTGCCATGTTCACTGCCAAGAAGCTCGCTGGCATCTATTTCAGCAGTCACGGGCGGACTTGTAAATTTTACGATGGCATGGCGAGACGATCGGCTTCATAGTATTATCATTCAGTTCTCTTAGTTGCTGATGCCCCCCTCCCCCCCTACCCGCGGCCACTGCCATTGGGGAGTGGGTCGGCCCCTTGGGAGCGCGCACCCTAAAGCTCTAGCCTGCGAGCTCGCACCTCGCGGTAAGCGGGGGAGGGGGCCCTTTGAAGTCGTGCGACAGTGGAGGGCCTGACCACGGGGAATCCCCCTGGACCCTTCAGATCGCCATCGGACAGTGGATCACTGCACTCCGAACATTGTCGTGTCCAGGCCAGCCACCTGCCTTACACTTCCTGCTACCATCATCATCATCGCTCCCTTCCTCCCTCCCTCTTCTCTCGTCGTCTCCCCCCTCCTTCCGCCTTGACATGCATCCCCCTTCTTTTTTCTGTCCGCAAACCTCCCTCACCATATCGTATCTTCCTCCGCCTCCATCTCTATTTTGCTTTTGCGTCGCGACTCTGACGTCTCGCAGCCTCTCCGTTTCTTCTTCCTCTTCATGCCTTCTCCATCCCGTGTGTCTGCTTCCATTTGTCTTGCCTTCTGCCTCCTGCCCCAATCCATAAGTCTTGCCTCCTCTCCCGTCTCTCTTTCGTCCCACCTCGTTCTTCCTTTTTCCCACTCTCGCCACCCTTCTTCACGCTACGCCCGCTCTCACATCTTATTTGATTGCTCTGTTGGATCCGCCTCCTGCCTCCACCTTCCCTGGTCTTGACTCCGCCTCCATCCACCGTCCCTGTCACGAATTCCGTCTCCATTAAAGATTTTAGGTTGGCTCACCTCCATTCCGCCTCTCCGTTTTCACCATCAGTGGTCCACTGGGTATACACGGTACCCCCGGTAGTAACCTCCCTCCATTCACACTAAAACGTTCGCGCGAAGCTTATTCGTGCTTCAGTTCGGTACGAATGTATATACATATGATACCGGAGAAAAGCCCAATCAGGGCTATAGAGCTATAGGGCTATAGGGCTATAGGGCTATATGGCTATAGGGTTATAGGGCTATTGATGTATAGGGCTATAGGGCTATAGGACTATAGAGCTGTAGGTCTACAGGGCTATCGGGCTATTGGGCTACAGGGCAACAGGGTTATAGGGCTATAGGGCACGCCCGGGCACCCAGGCACCCCTGGGCCCGCCCGGGCACCCGGGCACCCGGGCACCCCCGGGCACCTGGGCACCCGGGCGTGCGGCGAAAATCGGCGGCTAACCATATGAATCCGCTGGGACCCTTACAGAGGCAAGCTCTGATTGGGGAATATATGTGCACACGCATATGTGTGGCTATGTACGTGCAGGTGTTCGTTAAGTGCGTGTTTATGCTTGTTTGTGTTCGACGTACTGTTTTCCGTGACTGGGGGCATGCATACTTGTATTTATATGTGTAAATCGTCTGAGTATTCGCTTCTTTGAAGTTACATGCAGATGTACGGTCTGCGTCTGCGTGTTACGTTGTGTAGATCTAGTCCGTGCAGAACCCTTATATACCTGACTGCTGGGTGTCCGTCATCTTCGGAGCTTACGTGTGCTCGTGATGTATGCTCTTTTTGATAACCCCCTGTGCTTGCCAGCTTTGTGTGGACTTGCCAGGGACCTTCAGGGATCACGCGTGATACTCGGAGCATGGCGGCAGCGATTCGCAGGACGGGCGAGGCGGGACCTATGGGGTAACGATCATCCAGGGCCTGGCGGCCGCGATTTGCAGCGCGGGCGAGGCGGGTCGGGAGCCCCTTCTCTTGGAAAGTCCAACAACCCCAGCCTGTCGGGTGGGGAAGGAACGCGTGGACCCAGCCACAGGAAATATTATCCTGGAGCGCTGGCTGCCACGTCGGGGAGACTCCTCTTCGGGGGGAAGTAGCGATGCACGCGCACATGAATTCACATGGGCCTCGAGAGAGCGCAGTGCGCAATCGCTCTTGGCACGAGGGCGGCCTCTCGCGAACTCAGGCATGTTCATGCACGTGGCTGATCGCGTGCGTTCTGTTTTGGGGCCCCTCGAAGAAGCCTAAGCTGCAAAAACATACGCTTTCAGAGGTCCGCGCGGTGGATTTCTCGGATCGGCGCTCGGCCCCCCTGGCGGCGCTTCCGGCACCGCCCCTGGCACGTTCCGCGCGCCAGGGAGAGGGTCCACCGCCGATCCACAATCCGCGGACCTCTAAAAGTTTCTTAGGATATCTGATGGTTTGGTTCTCTACTCCCACCGCAGACCCCCGACGTTATGAGTGTTTCATATGAGGTGGACCTCCATGGAGAGATCTGGACCGGTTCCTGGGGAATGGCTGTTTACCTCGAGTCGTTGTGTGACGGCACCGAGGCCCGCAAGGGCCCCGAGAGGCTTAAAGTCGCAGGAAACCGTCAGTAGTATCTGCTCGGCCACGCGAGGAGGTTCGGGTCCTCACGGCTCAGAAAGGCCCAGCGGAGGAGGAGGAGGAGGAGGAGGAGGAGGAGGAGGAGGAGGAGAGGAGGAGGAGGAGGAGGAGGGAGGAGGAGGAGGAGGAGGAGGAGGAGGAGGAGGAGGAGGAGGAGGGGAGGAGGAGGAGGAGGAGGAGAGGAGGAGGAGGAGGAGGAGGAGGAGGAGGAGGAGGAGGAGGAGTTGGAGGAGGAGCGTCCGGGTCCTCCCGGCTCAGGAAGGTCCAAAAGCGGTTTCTGCCCGCGCGGTGCTTCCCCGACAGCCGGCCCGAAGGCATTTCTCCACCCGAGTCTCCGGCTGCTGCGGAGCCACGACGGCCGGCAGACTTTCTGGCCCGACGCGGCGGCGCCGTTCTGCAACCCGCAGTGGCAGCTTGACTTCGAGGCCCCCGCGCTGGAGGGTTTCTCCGAAGGGCTTTGGCGACCCGTCCTCCTCCTCCTCCTCCTCCTCCTCCTCCTCCTCCTCCTCCTCCTCCTCCTCCTCCAGCCCCGGGGGGGCCCCCAAAGTGGGGTCAGTTTTCGGCCCCTTGGCGAAGGCGGGGACCGCCAGGCCCTCGGGGCGACAAGCCCCCGCACCCCGGGGGACGCCGCCAAAGTGCGGTTTCCTTCCCCCGGGGGGTCGCCAGGTCCCGTGGTCTCCCCCAAGGCGGTGCTGGATCCCCCCCAGTTTTCGCCGCCCTGGGGCGGGAACGGCGGCTCGTCTTTGTCGTGTCGTTCGTCCGTGCCGTGTCGTGCGTGTCGCATCGTGGCGTTTCGTCCCCCATCGTGTCGTGTCGCGTCGTGCCGCTTTTTTGTTTCGGTCCTGGGGTCCGAAACCTGGGCCCCTGGGGGCGGGTGGCGCGGCGCCGTCTTTTGCTCTTAAAGGCGGCGCCGCGCAGCCCGTTCCTTGGGCCCCCCGTCGTTTTCCCCCGTGTCGTGCTGCCCGGGCTCGCCCGCCGGCCGGGCGCGCGGGGCGCTGCGCCATGGCGGCGGGCGCGGCGACGCTTCTATGGGCTGAAGTGTGCGCGTCGCAAAAGAATCCTCCTCCTCCTTCCTAGCCCTTCTGCGCTCGAGCAGCGCTGCAGGGACGTTCTTCAGAAAAGGCGCGCGCGCCTGCGAGCCAAGCGATTTGACAGGATACCGTCACACGTTCAGTCAGAGTTACCGCCATGGCGCCTCCTCCCTCTGTCCAGCGCCCCGCCCCTGCTCGCGCGGGCGGCAGCGCAGGCTGGCCGTGGCGTTCTCAAAGCCAAGTGGCCGCGGACGGATGGACCGAGTGGGACGCCCACTCTCGAGAATCTTCATGGACACGCAGCTCATGCGGATGCAAGAAGAACAAGCAGGGTTGGTCTCAGTGCAAGAATTGCTGGCGCTGGCACTTGCGTTCCGTACCGAGGATGGGCCAGCCCTGGCCCCAGCCGCAGGGCGCGCGGGGAAGCGGCTCAGGAGGTTCCGCGCCGCCAGGCACGTGGACTTGGGATCTCACGTCGGGCCCCTTTCATCCATGCCGCGGTCAAACAGCTCTTCGGAGAGGCGGCGGCGAAGTCCGAGGCCTTCAAGGAGGCCCAGGCTGAGCAGCTCAAGCGTCTGCAAGCCAAGCGTCGCCGAACTGATGGAGATTCAGCGGGGTCAGCAGCAGGTGGCGACCCACCTGGCGGAGGTGCAGCTGGCTCAGGCGGCGGCGGTGCCCCAGAGGCCGGCGGCGCCGACGCCATCGCCGGCGGGGGCGGGGGCGGCTGCAGCGGCCGCCGCCGCGACGCCCGCTGAGGGGGCAAGTGCGCCCGCCGCTGCTTCTCGCGATGATGTTCGCGCTCGTGCCAGCAGAGTGTTACGCGCAGTCCCCCCCGCAGGTGCCGCCTGAGGGGGGGGGGGGGGGGCTCAGTCTTCTTGGCCCCCCCTCGGGAGGCAGCATGCACGGCGCGCTCGTTGACGGAGACATGGGCTCGACATCACCTATGCGGCATTCCTCTTCGGCTGGGGCACTGTCGGGTCCGAGCCGTCGTCTTGTGAGCTATGAGCATGGGGCAGTTGGTGCTATGTCTAATTTTTTGGATTTGACCTCAGGCCTTTGTTCGTTCGGGCCAGCTCGGCGGGGCCCCGGGCCGCCCAGGTGCGTCGCGCCAGGAAAGTCCAGCGGCCCGCCGTCCGTCAAACATCCCCCCCCCACGTTGCGCTGCGCGCAGTGTCGAGAATCAAAGTCAGGGCGCTGTAGGCGTCGCGAGTGCTGTTAGGTCTGCGTGGATTCCCACTCGACCGCCCGTGCCCGTGCTGCCTCCCAGCATTTAATTTTCGGCTCGCCTCGCGCGGTTCTCCCAGGCCGACGCCTCGCCCGACTTGTCTCGTATCTGTAGGGGAATGCGCTTTTGAGAGCTGTTGGTCACGCGCTGGCCAGGGCCAAGTCGGTCCTCGCTCGTAGCGGCCCCATCTCTGCTTCTAAGTTTTTTGAGCTCCATGGGCCTCTCATGCCCGGTGTGTTTCCCAGGCCCCAGGAGCAATTGCCGCGGCCTCTGGGGGCTGACGCGTTCCCGCTGGACCAGCTCGCGCCAGCCATCGAGACTTGCAACCTGTCTGGCTGGGGGGCGGGGCAGCTGCGGTTGCAGGAGACGCTGGCAAATGTGACGGTCATGCAGGAGCACCAGCAGATGCCTCATCAGCTGGCTTTTGCGTCTTCGCGGGCGAGACGCCGCGGGTGGAAGAGCCTGCGGGCGGCGCCTGTGCTGGGAGGAGGCGGCGGCCCCTCTGCTGGAGTAGCTTTGTTCGCGCTGGAGGGCTTCTGCTCCAAGGGCAGCCAAGCGGGCGCCAATTCTGTGCTGCGCTCGTTGGAGTCGCCGCCTCAGTTTGCGCCGCACTCAGGACCTGCCTCTAGTTTCCTCTGAGCGCTGCGTGACTTCATTTGCGAGCTGCCGATGTACGAGGCCAGGGAGGGGCCGCTCGTCGACTTCCCCGCCCATGTCGCGGGCGCCTTCCAAACGGCGCTGGCCGAGGTGGGGGCGTCGGACAGGGCGCCCGCCAACGAGGAATTGAGGGGTCGGCTCCTTTTTCAAAACGCGTCGGGGGCCCCGTCGCGTTCACGCGGCCTCTAAAGGCGCCGCGCCGTGGCTTCCCGCTACCACCCTGTCCCTGGGCGGGGTGGTTCTGGCCGACCCCTTTCTCCATCTTCAAGGCGGAGGCTGCTGAGTTTTCTAAGTCGCGGGGGGATGGCGTGGGCGGAAGATGGTTCGAAGTTGGCGAGCTGGCCGCTCCTCTGCCCCCTGTGCCCGTGGAGGCCATGCGTGGGTCTTCGAGTAAATGTACGGAGAATGCCTCCGTCTGCGTGGATGGCTTCCACATGAGGCATTTCGCGTTTTTGAGCGACGCCCCCCTGCTGATGGTCGCGGATCTGTTCGCGCTCATGGAGCTCGCCGCCCTTATCCCTGTCCAAGTCTCCGTCGCTCTGCTCGCCCTCATCCTTTAGGTGAGCTCGGGATTCCGACCGGTAGGTGATTTCTGCGCCTTGCACCGAGCGCGCGGGGAAGTCCGCCGCCCGCTGGCCCAAGTGCGGGGGCTCGCCCATGCCAGGGGGACATTTCCCTGCGGGGCCCTTCGAGGGGGCTCTGGGCGCGGTCTGGAGGGAGGCGGTTCGCGCTGGGGCGCCCACTCTTGTCGAAGAAGAAGCGGCCACGGTGCTACTCTACATATATAGGTACTATGTGACCATCAACTTGAGGGTGCTCTTGTGGCGTGTTAGGCAGCTGCATTTCCCGCTTGCTATCGCTCGCCCGGCGATGGCGGTGCACCTCCAGGCTCGGTTTTTCCGTCCCCGACGCATTTGTGGACGGGCCCTTGCGGGCCAAGGGGGCGTCATCGCGGGCTGCGCCCCCGCCGCGAGTTGGATTTGAGCGCATGCTATTTTGGATCTCGATAAGTTGGCCACCCGCCCCCCCCCCCCCCCCAGGTCCAGTTTAATTTGTGCGCTGGCGATTCTGGAGTCAGCGCCACGGGGGCCAAGGGATACATCGTCTTCAGCATGCCGCCTGTCGCGCGTCAGTTGCGCCCGGTCTTGGAGGGCGGGGCGGGGGCCAAAGTTAGCCGGGGTGAGAAGGGGGGGGGGGGGGGGGGGGGCGCTCATCTGTTCGTCTAAGGCGCTGGGGCGAGAACTGGCTGCCCAGCTCGGGGGGCTGGCTGGCCCGCATGTCTCGTCTCGTCCGCGCCGAACCTCGAGGTGGGCGGCTGCGTTGGGCGACCCCGTCGCGTCAAAGGAAGGAGTTCTGAACGCAGAAAAACGCGAGGCCAAGCCTTCGGGGCTTGTTTCCAGGTTGGCCCGTTTGAAGCTTATTGCGGGGGGCCGCGTTGCCCGCGATGTCTTCGCCTCGGGGGCCCTCGCGTCGGAGCTGTTCGGGTCTGAGGCCCACGGGGTCAGCGACTTTGAATTGTTGGCGCATCGGCTTCGGGCGGGGGTTGCGCTGCAGCCGTCGGCCAAGGGCCGGTCTTTGACGTCGTTGTTGCTAACGCGCGATGAGCCGCGCTGGCGTGCTAGTGTGTCGCCAATCACTCGATGGTCTAAGGAGATTTGGTGGGCTCATCGCCGACTGTGCAGCCGCGCTCAGAACGGCGTGGCAAGCTGGCTTCGAGGGTTAATTTCCGTTGTGGCGAAGTGCGTCGGGCCCAGCGGCGGCCCTCAGGAAGCCCCTGGACCGCATCTCTTGGTACGCGCCCGCGCTCGGGATCCTGGTGGCCAATCTTGGGGGGGAGCTCAAACTCACTGCGTTTTCGCCTAAGTTGATCCGAGCGTTGTTACGCAAGGGTTCTGCGAGGGGGCTCGAGTGGGATCTCGGGGCCAGGTTCAACTTGAAAGGGGGGGCTTGTGTCGACCCTGTTCTGACATACTTGAAAAGTTCCAAGTATACCCCGTATCAGAAAGGCCGCGTGCGCGCGTTGCTTTGCCAGGCCGCTTATGCCCGTCAGCGAGCCGCCAGCCTAGGTTTCGCGTTGTCCACGACGGTCTGCCCGTTGCGCGGCGATGGCTCAGACACCCGTAGACACCGCCCGTGGGAATGCCGCGGCCCTGAGGCGGTGGAGCTAAGGGGCAAATTCCCACGCATAATGTCCAAGAACGGGCAGCTATGGCTGACGACAATTTGGCATGCTACGGCGTCTTCCCCCACTCCTCCGATTTCCCGCCGCCTCTCAAGTCGGGGGGCATCTTGGTGGAGTGGGCGGGGGCGGAGGGGGGCATCCGCAGTTCTTTCGAAGGTGGCCTGTTCGTCGGTGGCTCGTGTACTTGCTGTCCGGTGGGAGATGTTAACAGAGCTGGCGGGTCGATCGTGGTCGTCCCGGGAGAAACTGGCAGTGCTATTGCGCGGATCAAAGGACCAGCGTGGGCGCCCTGCCCTCAGACGCCCCAGGCAGCAGAGCATCGCGCCATGC